GGAGGGTATAAATGTTAAGAATTATATGTTTGTGAAGATATTTCATACCGTTGACTAAACTGACAATGTGTCAAATACTCTCACAGTGAACTAAAGAGTAAATGGTTAAATAAACTTTTAATTTTAAATGTATTATTTGGAAAATTTTAAAGTAACATATAAAATAGTTAAAAAAAAATTTTTGTAATTAAATTATATGATGTTGGTTTTGTTTATAATGTTTTAGAGTTAATACTAAAAAATATTTCAGATATTTATTAAAGATTATTTTATCTTTAAAAGCAATCATACTACTTTTATTTTGACTTTAAGTTATACTGCAAAAATTGCCCCACTTTGGTATGTACACTTTTAATATATATTTTTAGGTCGAGAATCTGTTTCAAGTCTTTCAGAGTTACCAATTCATAAATTTCATTTGTCGATTCATTTATATATAGCAGCTTTGCTTGCAAAAATCAGTAAAAAGTATATCCTATGTGCTAAGTTACCATTCAGATTTAAGTGTGATTGAGTAACATACATTTATCATCTTTACAAACTTTCACATTTAAATATATTATTTGTATCCCACAATCTGTTGGGATAATTTAGTTATGTTATCTAAATAAATAAATAGGTTGTTAGGTCAAAATCTTTTCTAATTTTAATTTATCATATTGTGTTCATCATTTTTATTTTATCAATATGTAGGTATATACATTAATTTGCAATTTAGAGGAATGGCAAATAATAGCCCACCTGATTGAAAGTGATAACTGTTACCTATGAATAGCACCATGGCTATCATAGATTACACTGAGATACTAATAGCAAGCTACTAATGTGTTATTCATGAGGACTGTGGTGTTATAACTCCATACTTTGTTATTTCACTGCCAAATATTATTATAAAATTTGCTATATATACTTAAACAAGGGTTCATCTAACACATTTCTTGAAAATATGAAAGTGCAATACAATATCATCAAGTAAGTATATTATTATCGAGTTGGCATGTCACGACTATGATATGGCGAGAGGTGATTACGGAACTGTCATGAAAATTTATTTAAATTCACACAAACAACGTCTGGGTGTGACGTCACTATCGGCGCGCCTCTTATCACTTGGCACGCTCCCGCAGTCTCGCGGCAGCCCGAGTCGCCTCGGGCCTCATTCGTTTTCTTCACTCATAACACTTCTCATCGACATACATTTACAAACAATTTTTTATTATTAAATGTTGTCCTCAAAAATTTAACAGTTGTTTAAACGATTTAAAAACTATATTATTTGATTTTATAAAGTTATTTATTTTTCAATCTACTTACTATTTGTAACAGTGTCGTCCGCAATTGTCGTAGGTTTTCCACCTATGGATGACAGATAGAGATGTGTTTGCAGCAATGATTCCGATAACACAAATCGAGTCACTGTTAGGCAAATCGATCACGATGATGAAGGATTAGATGGAACAATTTTACACACTGTCACTGACATTTGATTTCTCTTGATAGAAGCTTCTAATATTTGAAACAAAACAATCACAGAGCACTAAACGGAGATTACAACACCCGTAAAGCGTATTTACAATAATTAACTAGGTATCATTCACTAATAAATAAAATATGATTTCCAATGCAATAACACTATAAAAATAAATTATTTGTAAAATAAGGATAACATAGGAATTCCACTATCGCGTGTTTTGTGATAGAGTTTCTTAACTCTTTTCATATTGGCAGGAAAACGCCTGCCATCGAGCGAGCCTTGTTGTTCAATGACGCGGACGCGGCGCGGTGTTCGCAGTCGCGGTGCGGGGTGAACGGGGGGAGGGGGCGGGCGGTGCACCGGCGGCTGCCCCGATGTCGCCGCACACTAGCTTGGTTATCTGTATAGTTATTCACACACACATTCATATAATCTGTCTACTTGTGTATGTGTGCTTGGCACTTCGACTTGACAGTATATAAATACACGAACTGTTACCGAGTGTGAGTTAAGTAATTTCATTGTGTGTATGTGGCTCATCTATATATGAGAAGGTACACATGTAAGAGAACCTCGATGCTCTACCGTCGTTGGCCGTCGGAGTTATGTTGTATGCGCACCTATAATTGTAATAGTGAACGATGACGCGTTTGTCGGCTTGCGAGACGAGACGGTTGGCATTGCTCAATGATCGAGTTGTAGCCGTAGTTGTACGTAACCAGCCAGAGTAGACACTAATCAATTCCCACGATCATATCTAAAATTGTATTGAATTTAATTAAACTTTCTAAATAAAATGTATTATACTCCACTAAAATACATAAATTATTAAAGATATGTCTTCATCTTCATAATAAGTCTCTGGTAAGGCAAGATAACTATTTACTAAACATCACAATCGTATATACTTTCTTTTCATGCTTAATTTAATTTAATGTTTCAATTAATACCATATGATATTCAGAGTAGTTCTAGCTATTAAGTTTTAAAACCTAATTATAAAGGTAAGTATTATACTAATAATATGTGATGATATGTATTTTCTCATATTGTGATAATTAATGATTTGGTAATTAAGTCGATGAACCTACTTCTTTAATTACCTTACTTTGTTCACTCTGATTTGATATATCCATAAAGATATTAGTAATAAACAAATTTTTTTCGAATTCTAAACCGGAAGTATAACTTCCTACGTTCTTTTCCAAGTTGAATAATATGTGTATTGCAAATTACATGATTTAGCCGCCAAGAGGTATCAAACAACCTCACTGTTACATATAATACAGTCTAAATATTTTTTTCTATTACTTAATTTTTACACTGTTATACTATCTAAAGATTTATGTTTCTACTCAAATTATACCCCATTAGGGTATAATTTATGTAATTTAAAATTATGAAATTTTACAGGTAACTTAATTATTAGAAAGTAATTTTATAGTTACTACCTATATGTCTTAATAATATCAGTTTAATTTAATTTGATAACAGAAAATCGATTTTAAGGGAATCGATTATACATCATCAAACAATCAGCTATATCGATTAATGTGTATCTAAGGCGTTGGTCACATTTACCTATTGTGCAATTTTCTTTTTGTGTTTTATTTTTTTATTTAAAAGCAAAAATAAGTGACAACTAAAGTTATTTTATCATAAATATATATATATATATATATATATATATATATATATATATATATATATATATATATATATATATATATATATATATATATATTATATATATATATATATTATGGTATTAAGATGACTTATTACTAACATTTTAATGGAAATAAGATAAGACTGTCTCTGGGATGAAATTTCAGGAAATAGGTATGAAACCTTTAAAAAATTAAAGCAATAAAAATTAAAGTAAAATAAACTAAAAAAAATGTTGTATGGTCCCGGCAAAGAATAGATCAACCCTTCCTTTCCCGTAGGTGTCGTAAGAAGCGACTAAGGGAACTTAATGGTCAAGGGATGGGCAGCAGTATCCCTCTTAAATAGTCTCCATGGGCTAATTCCGGTTGTTAATCCGCCTGCCAAGCGTCGCAAATACTAATAAAACCCCCAATAGAGAGAGGCCAATGTTCAACAATGGACAATAGACAGTTGATATGATAATGATGGTGATGAAAGTAAAAAAAAAAGAGAGCACCTACATATGGGTTTAATTTGGTTGGTATGGTTTCGAAAAAAAAAATATATCTTTTTGACCGATTTAAAAAAAAGGAGGTTACATATTTGACTTGATATTTTTGTGAAGAATAGTCAGTAGGTAATTTTTTGTAGTATTTAAACTTCGATTTCATTATTAATTTTCCGCAAAAGCCCTTACGGGACAGGTATATTTATTTTAAAATAGGCATAATTATTGTTACCTAATTATTATTAACTACTTAAATTATAAGTAATGATTATGTTGTAGTATTGGGTTCTATAGATAAAAATGAAATATTTTTTATACATTAGCGAGGAGCATAGAGAGCACAAGCGAGGATAAAGCCAAGTCACTTACTTGGCTCTTTTTTTTTTTCAATGGATGACAATAGAACGGTAATCCTATCTGCGCTAATGCTGTATGCTGGCGGGGCATTATTGAGAGATGATAGGTGAGGATGAAAAGGCAGGCCAGTTTTCCCATCGTAATGCATTGGAATTAAGCGCGATGGTCTCCAGGAAGGGCCGCGTGGAGGTCGATTTGACAGGGTATATTGCTAGCAATTAGGGTGGTAATTTCTATTACTAACAATCCCTTCCTTAACAGTAGTGAAACAATATTCAATGCTATATTTTCTGCGTACATATATATGTACATATCACGGGAGTTCTCCGAAGAGTTGTTCAATCTTATCCTCTGAATAGTCCAATGCACGGATAACTTCTCTGGTGCTGCTAATGTAGTGATAGTTAATGAACACCGCAGCCCTATATATGGGTGCGGTGCTGTGTTTGCCTCTCTTTTTCATATACAAAATACAAAATAATTGACAAAAGCATAAAATTAGGATATATAAGTCTTACTTTTTTATAATATTATAAATTATATTAATTAAAAAACAGTAATTGGTCGATTAATCAATATAATACTGTTGAGTTTAGAAACATAAAATTTTAAACATATATTATTTAATAAGCCGGATGAGTGATAAGAAATGGTTTCCCAAAATTCAAATGCTCACGGAAAATGTCTAATCGACTGAATATACATAATATTCGTAAGTATATTCTAAGATAATATTGTAGGTAAATATGAAGGTTTGTGTAGATGACAGTATATTTATGTTTGTATAGAATTTGGTACACAAATGAATTATATCTTAGTTTATATAATTTGCAGGCAAAACTGTGAATTATTGTGTAGTTAACCATTACCTGCTATTATTTTATTAACTGGATATTAGTTTGATAATTTTTATTCTTACTTGGGCCGTACCTACTTTGGTTGCTTTAAATAGGATTATTTGTATAAATGTCGATATTGGTTTAGGAGACAGATTGTTAGGTGATCACTCACGGGGTTGGCGGTGACGGCCGTAGCGGCGGCGAACCGGCGGCGCAAGTGCGGGCGGGCCAGTGCGCCCGCAGCCGCGCACAACAGTACTGCAGCGCCCACGCATACGCCCGCCCACCACCATTCTGAAAAGTATACGTATATAGTCATACGTTAAACGTATTACGTATGCATATTGTGAATGTATACACATAAATGTTGAATTATTTTATTAGAATATATTTTAATTCAGTTCCGCAAGGACTAATATGCTTGGCCAATGATCGTGGAATGTGGAAAGGGAGGTTTTTGCCTAGAAGTAAGACAGCACAGGTTATGGAATGACGATGACGATATTTTGATAATTAGTTTATAGTAGTTAGTTTAATTTTGAACCGACTTAAAAAAGAAGGAGGTTCTCAAATCGATTGTATTTTATTTATGTTTGTTACTTCATAACTCCGTCATTTGTAAACCGAATTGGAAAATTATTCTTTTAGCTGAAAGGATATACTTATAGATTAGTCCCATATATTTTTTTTATCAAAATCGGTTCAGTGCTTTAGTTTTATAATCAAAATAACTGGATTTGCATCTATTGAAGTCGGTTTTTTTGTGCAACACAATCTTATTATTATTTTTAATTATTAGTTCTCCTAAAATAAATAAATTTTAGTATTAAGGTCGCTTTTGGAAAACTTTTTCCATAGATTGTCAATTTGTTGTCAGCTCATCCCATTTCAGCTCACCGTATTCCAGGCTCTCCTATCAAAATATTATAAAGGACACCTGGTGTGACTTTATTTTTTTGCCCATCTATCATTGTGGCAAATCTCTGCAACTATTAGTGCTATCGATTTCTTTAAAAATAGTTTTATTAACATTTAATGCAAACGTAATCATTTTTTTACTTTTTTGTTATAGAAATAATCCATAAAAAATGTCAAGACAGCCATAAAAGCGATCAATGGAATATTGTTCTTTACGTGATAACTATCTTCATACATATTTATGTACACTTATGTAAAATATATAGAGATATTACAAGGAAAACTGAATACGTCCACGTGTTCAAGTCATTCAACTTGACTTAACAATTGCTATTCGAGATTTAGCGAAGAATAACTAGACTAGGAATAGAAAAGTTAACTTCTTATCTAGTTACTATCTTGCCAACGTGTATTATAAGTTTGTATAGACATATGCATGTTTCACGATTCAAAATTAATAAATACGAACTGGCTGCAATAAAAGCCATTAGCCATATGTAAAATTAAGTATCTAACGACGCTAAAGAATTATGATTAAATTTCATGAATCAAAAATTAAAAAAACAAGAACAAACATTGATTTAACAACTGAATACGACGTGGTAGTATGGGGGGCATAAAATTCTATAACGTTTTTTACCCATATTTTTGGGGTAAATAATAATTTTTACTGGTACAGTCTCTCTTGAAAATATTGGTAACGATTTCAATTTCACCTGTAGATAGACCACAACCTAAATTATGTCTTACCTTACCTTTCCTGTGACCAAAGCCCCAAGACATGACTAGTAATTCATAGAGAGCATTAAAAAAATATAAGTTCTGAGATTTGTTATTATAGCCTACTATAATTAAATTCTATTTATCTGTTAATTAATTTATACCTATTCGTATCAAACCTGCTTTCTTTGCATGTCATACCTCGACTAATTTACTAGTTTTCACATATAAATGTGAAAGTTTTTTTAAAAAGACATACCTTTTTAAAAAGTAGTATAGTATTTTAGTTGTAGTATGTTAGTATAGTTAGTATATGTAGTAGTATGTTAGTATAGTATTTATATTTCAATTAATCTTAAATGTCTTGACGGATTTGAATGAAATTTGGTACTTAAAACACAAATAGCTTATATTGACAATTAGGATAATTGACAATATGAGCTATTTATATTTAATAATATGTATTAAATATTGTCAAGTAATACAAATATTAATCTATCTACTGGTCTTGTCTGGTCAGCGCAGAGTTTCAGTAGCAGAGAATGGCATTAGTATGATCTAAGAACATCTAGTATTAAGTCTGCACTATATCAACGTTTGAAGTATGCAGAATAAAAAATATTATATTATATTTTTAAAATTGAACGGAGATGCAAAATCGTGAATCGCAACGACATAAACATAAAAATAATTAATTTTTAATTATACTGATAAATAGGGCCAGACAAACTTTTAATGATAAATATCAAATAAATAATGGAATGTTACAAAATTTTACAAAATATGACAGACAAACTATGTTGGTATTATAGACGATATAATTTATATTTATTATACTATTTCTACTGAAGACGTTTAAAATTCTTGAAGGATTTGATTATTAATTCTAATTTGTTATAAATACTTGTACAATTTGTACATCACATATTACAAATTTACCATAGTCTAGAATAATAGATAAGATGCTTTTATATTAATACATTAGTATACTACATATTTTGTAGAAAGATTTTTAAATGGCTGTATAAAAGTTAGGGATTTTAAATATATCTCTCTCCTACTTGCTGTGGTCCACAGGGTCCATAATTGAATTTGAAATGTTGTCTACTAATTACGTTATGGAATGCAATAAGAAATAAATAAATATGTCATTGACTCTTTGTTTATAAATTAAAATAAAAAAAATATCTTTGATTCATTACATTTCATTAAACATATAAAACAGATTTATCCAGTCATTCGTTCAAATTTGTCCTTTCATAGATAGCTTCGGGATAAACACAAAGGCAGCAACCTTATTATGAAACCCCTCTTGTTGTAAATTTTTTCTTTTGAAGTAGTTTTTTAGACCTGTCCTAAATTATAAGGAACTCAACCTAATTAAATATTTAACAACAATATATCTGTTTCTATAGAACTTAATGTAAAGTTAACTTACTTTTGTTGAAATTATCACAGAAACACTTGAGAGTGTTTTATTTAGAGAAATGATATTAGTAACAAATCAACACATTTTATCTATTAATCGATTTTTGTTTACTACTATTACCTACTACTATCGGACATTAGCATATCATTTTAAGGCTGGGTCAATTATCCGTTTTTTTTACATTTTCATTAGGGTCTATTGAAATAAATTTTAGATCTAAATCGATCTGAAAATTGAAATTGTTTTTAATACAAATAAAATTATTATTACATATCACTATTTGTGTTGTAATTTCTTGATGGTACTTCATTAAATCGTTTATATAATAATAATTAAAATATTTATATATCTATTACTAGCTGTATCCTGCGGTTTCGTTCGAGTGAAACCTTATACAAATAAAGTATTCTATTTGCAAAGTTAGGACATAGGGGACTTTGTACAAAAGTCGATTGCTTGGGTACCTCTGTCCCATTCGTGTTTCAACCGTGAAGCTGTTGTGTTTGCATGGCTGTGTTTGATGTCGGTTTGAAGGGTGGGATATGGCGTGAATTCACTGGGTACAGAGGAATAACACCTGAGTCCTCAGGAATGGCAACGCATGGGGGGTAGCATGGATGAAACAGTATCATTTACATTATAAGATGTTATTCTGCAATTACAAATGAATGTTCTTATTTTTTCAGCGTCCGCATTATTGTTTCGAATTAAATGTGACAACCCTAGTTTAAACTACCTCGCGGAATGATATCGAGATTAAAAGCGACTACTGTAATAGTTGAAAAAAAAAAAATTATGAATGTCTTTATTTGAAGTCGTAAAAAATTCTATATTTATGTTTAATAATTATGTCAATATGATCATATTCTAAAAATAATAAAAGGGTTATCATAAAGTTTAATAAATAATTAAAAATGATGATTGTACGTTATTATGCTACGTGATGTCTGGCTGACATTTCATAGGTATTAATAAAAATAAGTACATAAGTACTTTTATTATTTATCTAATTCAACGAAATTTTATCGGATCAAATGTAACACCGTATGGTTACTATTTGGGATTATTTTATATGATTATGCGACAAAAATATGAAACTAGATTATTTAAAATAATATAATACCTAATATATTTAATAATAATACTATAGTTGTACTATTACTTTAAATATTATGTGTCTATAGGTTTGTAAACACATCATGTATTCATTTATTAGTACTTTGTTATTGAATCATGCTCTAGTCATGTGATCTAAAATTTTTGCTGAAAATAAGATACTCATCAAAAACATAAATATAAAAAAGCCAAGTCTCGCAACGTAGTTCTTTTACTGCCAAAAGTTGTAAGATCTCATGTAAAACCAAGTCAGCTATTTTAGTAAGAGTCTGTGGAAGTACCTTTTTACAAAATTTGTTATAAATTGTAATCTAATAAATCAGCTATCAACATTTATAGTTACCGTATCAATATTAGATATCTTTATATATAATATTAAATAATAAAAAAAAAAAACAGTAATTTCTAATTTAAAGTATTAAATAAAAGAGAAATAGCACTTCAGAATAGACCACATTGTGTAACACTTTTATAGTAAAAAGTAGTATTGTTATAACAGTGCGTAGCTATCTCTATGGAAAATTAAAGTACCTTTAAAGTATATCATATCTCATATATAGGTGTCTTCTATCATGGATCAAGGAAATAATAGGGCATAAATAGAATCCTTAAAAAGAAGAACTCCTTGAAAGGTGATTGAGTTAAGTTCAGCTCAGTTACCTTTCTCTTTATATGTATAGTAGGTTATCATTCACTATCATCTTACTTTGTCCCATTTTCTCAAAATGAATTAAAGGGATCAAAATATGATATTATTTGCGTTTAGGTGCAAAATGTAACATTGAAATATGGGGGTGTCGAATATTGGTAAAGAACTCCTCTTTAATACGCGAAAATGTTAACGATATACAAGAAAGAAGATGATTAAAGAAAATTATTGAGAATAGAATGGGAGGCAAATGGTCGTCTTAGAAGTTATTTTAGTGGATAGAAAGGAAAAACCACTCATAAATTAGTTAACATGTAGTATAGTGTGTTAACGTTATGGTCTGAAATAGAGCCTATTACTCCGACTATGAAAAACTTAAATTGTAAAAAGTGTACTTGCGACATTGGTATTTGGAACGATACTGCCAAGCATTTCCCTGTTATATTTTCCATTACAATAAGG